GAGAGGATGAGGTAAAGAGAGAGGCACAACTCGGTGGGAAATCGGTCTCCCTCCAGCAGGTGGCGTTTTTTCACCCACCAAGCAAGTCGTTTTTGTATGGAGGTCAATGAGTGTCGAATTTGGTCAATAAAAAAATGTATGGCTTGTTTGCTTTGTGAGGTTTATTTGATTTTAATAGAAGTTTCGTAATGCTTAGGTTGTTACGAGTGTACTGATATAAGTAAGTCACATGACATCCCAGCAACTTTGAGAAAAAATACTTTATATCGCGGTTGACGTCAACAACCCTCATCGAATATTCAAGTATTAAAATAATGCAATGTATCCACCAATCCAAAGAAAGGATAGGTGGGAGCTAGACAGCGCGCCGTGCCACTTTGTGGACAGTGATTACCCATTGTTAGGTCAGAGACACAAGTATCTTGTCAGTATATCCATAATCTTTGCCTACAATAACTAAGGCAAAAATGGCACCCTATTTCCTAAATAGTGCACTACTTTTGACCTGAGTCTGAGATGGCACGCTATTCATAGTGCACTACTTTTGACCAGAGCCCTATGGCCCCTGGTCAAAAGTACTGCACTATAGTGAATAGGGTGCCAATTTGGATGCGATTTAAGCCTACAGTAGAATAGCGTTACTAATCTGTAATAATTTATGACCCTGGTCATTTTTTGCGCAATGACGAGAAGCATCATGTTTCTCGCAGATAGGTACCATGGAGCTTACATCAGCTAGAAAGAGTGGTTTTCCACTTTCAAACGGAGTTGGATTTAGAGTAAGGACCCCCTTCTGTTCCTCCTCTTAAAATGTACAGTTGAATGTTTGCAGCTTTCCATTGCTCTCTCCGCTTTCTATGGCAGCTTTTCATTGCTCTATCTGCTTTCTATTGCAGCTTTCCATTGCTCTCTCCGCTTTCTATGGCAGCTTTTCATTGCTCTATCTGCTTTCTATTGCAGCTTTCCATTGCTCTCTCCGCTTTCTATGGCAGCTTTTCATTGCTCTATCTGCTTTCTATTGCAGCTTTCCATTGCTCTCTCCGCTTTCTATGGCAGCTTTTCATTGCTCTATCTGCTTTCTATTGCAGCTTTCCATTGCTCTCTCCGCTTTCTATGGCAGCTTTTCATTGCTCTATCTGCTTTCTATTGCAGCTTTCCATTGCTCTCTCCGCTTTCTATTGCAGCTTTCCATTGCTCTCTCCGCTTTCTATGGCAGCTTTCCATTGCTCTCTCCGCTTTCTATGGCAGCTTTTCATTGCTCTATCTGCTTTCTATTGCAGCTTTCCATTGCTCTATCTGCTTTCTATTGCAGCTTTCCATTGCTCTCTCCGCTTTCTATTGCAGCTTTTCATTGCTCTATCTGCTTTCTATTGCAGCTTTTCATTGCTCTATCTGCTTTCTATTGCAGCTTTCCATTGCTCTCTCCGCTTTCTATGGCAGCTTTTCATTGCTCTATCTGCTTTCTATTGCAGCTTTCCATTGCTCTCTCCGCTTTCTATGGCAGCTTTTCATTGCTCTATCTGCTTTCTATGGCAGCTTTCCAATGGGGTGAACAACTTATACATACCCCGAGGAGGCAGGGATTGGCTGTCTTCTAGCTCTCTGTCCCCCTGGGAATATGACAATAGTTTTATGAGCAGTGAGTTTACCTGACCTCAACACCCACAATTATCTTTCTCCCTGGCAGTTCAAATAATACTTTTCCACGCTCTATTTTCCCCTGGGTTAAGTTGGCTTCTTCGTGACCGGAGTATGAGGTTGAGGACTACTCACCCAGGAGTTGACAAGCTCATTCCAAAAGTGGTTCCACTACAGGTCATACTTTGGTTCCTATTCGAATAGAACCTGCCTGTAGCCAAACCACAGCTATAAAATATATTAGCTGTAGAACAAGTTCTCATTTACAACTGCAACCTGGCCAAGATAAAGCAAAGCAGTGCGATAAAAACAACAACAACACAGAGTTACATATGGGATAAACAAAACGTACAGTCAATAACACAATAGAAAATCTATATACAGTGTGTGCAAATGTAGTAAGTTATGGAGGTAAGGCAATAAATAGGCCATAGTGCAAAATAATTACAATTTAGTATTAAGACTGGAATGATAGATGTGCAGAAGATGATGTGCAAATAGAGATACTGGAGTGAAAATGAGCAAAATAAATAACAATATGGGGATGAGGTAGTTGGGTGGGCTAATTATAGATGGGCTGTTTAATATGAGGTTTCAGCATGAAATGCCCTCTATAATTTTCTTTACACGTTTTTCTTTATTTTACTATGTCAGTATGTCTTTTTTGTAAATGTTTTGTCGCCAAACTGGTGTTAGTTGTGAAAAAAGCAAATAGTTGGAAGAGTTGCTGACTTAGCCATTGTTGATTAGATGCTTTTTTCATTAATTTGGCTATTTTCTCTTGAACCATATGGTATATCCACTAGAAACTCATGGACAATATGGACACAGATTTTAAAAAAATGTATACTATACTGAACAAGAATATAAACACAACATGCAACAATTACTAAGTTACAGCTCATATAAGGAAATCAGTCAATTTAAATAAATTCATTAGGACCTAATCTATGGATTTCACATGACTGGGCAGGGGCGCAGCCATGGGTGGGCCTGGGAGGGCATAGGCCCACCCATTTGGGTGGAATGAGTTTTTCCCCACTAAAGGGTTTTATTACAGACAGAAACACTCCTCAGTTTCATCAGCTGTCTGGGTGGTTGGTCTAAGATGATCCCGCAGGTGAAGAAGCGGGATGTGGAGGTCCTGGGCTGGCATGTTTACACCTGGATTCCGGTTGTGAGGCCGGTTGGACGTACTTCCAATTCTCTAAAACGACGTTGGAGGCGGCTTATGGTAGAGAAATGATCATTAAATTCTCTGGCAACAGCTCTGGTGGACATTCCTGCAGTCAGCACGCTAATTGCGCACTCCGTAAAAACCTCAGACATCTGTGGCATTGTGTTGTGTGACAAAACTGCACATTTTAGAGTGGCCTTTTATCAGACGCTTTATCCAAAGCGACTTACAGTCATGTGTACATACATTTTTTTTTTTTACGTATGGGTGGTCCGGGGGATCGAACCCACTACCCTGACGTTACAAGCGCCATGCTCTACCAATTGAGCTACAGAGGACCACATTATCCCCAGAACAAGGTGCACCTGTGTAATGATCATGCTGGCTAATCAGCTTCTTGATGCCACACCGGTCAGGTGGATGGATTATCTTGACAAAGGAGAAATGCTCACTAATAGGGATATAAACTAATTTGTGCACATGGAACATTTCTGGGATCTTTTATTTCAGCTCATGAAACATGGGACCAACACTTTAAATGTTGTATTCATATTTTTGTTCAGTATACAGTATATATGAATAAATGTTTTCTTAGTTATTCAAGTATAAATTACCATAGATTGCCATAGATTACCTATTAATTACCAAAATTATAGAAGATTCTGGTAACTTTTGTAAATGTACGTTTCTGTTGGTGGCCCATTCTTTGATAGTATGCATGTACATCTTACAGAGCGCGGCATTAATATATTTGTGACTATACCTTGGGTAATATCTATTTCAGCCTCAACCAGGCGCCTTGGAAGTTCCTTCCACACGTTCCCTTTTTCCCTGGATTCTTCCTGGGGAGAATTTTTACGTATGGCTATCCAAGTGACACCTTCGTAAAGCTACCAGTGAGTAAATACAGTTATATCATACTGTGATACTTTGGCTATGACACCTGGTTTTGTCTATTTGCTTCTATCTGTTGCTATTGTACTGTTTTTTGTTATCATGGAAGTGGAGCAGGGAAGTGAAGTGATTAAGTGAATTGTAAATGGATACATTATTTAAGAACTAACTAGAAAAGGAAATTCCCTGAAAAAAATGTGTGTACCTGCTTGTCTTGATAGTAGTTATGGTATTGAAATACGTTTTTTTTTGCAAACGAAATGGGCTGAAAGTAAAGTAATGATGTTGATAATGTTTTAATGCCTATGCAGGGGCGGACTTAGTGATTTGGAGGCCCCAGGCAGAGACCATAATTTAACTGTCAAATGTATTACCTTTAATGTCAGTCTGAGCCCCCCTCCCCCAGAGCTGTTCGGAGCCGTCTCGAAGGATATTGAAAACGCAGACTAAAAAGACTTGAAATTCCCTTCACTAGTAAAGGTCATTGCATCACCACATATAAGACAATGAGGCAGGAAAATAGATAAGAGGAGACAGACTATCACTCTTTTAAATTAATTTGATTTATTTGATATGATTAATAATATTAATACATGTGATATTTATTGGCTGGTCCCATCTTAGGATCCTCTTAAGTGCTCCTTGGTGTGTGTGTGTGTGCCACCTTGTGATTGAGGCTGCTGAACTTTGCTGCCTGAGTGGTGATCTTCATCAGGTCTGAGTCAATCAAGATAGACCTGGGGAGAGGGCAGAAGGTACTTGTTAGAAACTAAGATTACTCCCTCCACTTCTGATATTTACCCCTTACACTTATTATCTTCCCTCGTAATTTATTTTATTATAGGTACTTTATTTTACTCTAAAGTTGAGAGCTACAGAGAGAGATACAGAGAGAGATACAGGGTGGCAGGTAGCATAGTGGTTAAGCGTGTTGGGCCAGTAAGCGAAAGGTCGCTGGTTCAAACCCCAGAAGTGACTAGGTGAAACAAATCTGACATTGTGCCCTTAAACCACATTTATCCTGTATGTCGCTCTGGATAAGAGCATCTGTTAAATGACTAAAATGTAAAATACAGAGAGAGAGATAGATGCAGTCCTGCCATCAAAGACTGTAGAAGACTGACCAGATAGTCCACAAGAACTTACACAAACTAAAGTTTTTAGTTTTATTGACCCAAGGGTTGAGAAGATAAGGGGAGTGGAGAAGGGATACAACAATTCAAAGGTGGGATGAATGAGTACTCACCCTGGTCAGTGAGCAGAGGCAGCAGGTCAGTGGAGTAGCTGAACTCTAGGAAGGCAGTGTGAGGGCCACCGTCACAGGCTGAAGGGTTATGGAGAGGTCCTGGACAAACTCTGCCGTCAGGCTCTCCTCCACCAGGGTCATGTGGCAGTGACCTCATCAAGGAGGAACACAAACATACAAATCATCCTGCATCTGAACAATCTGCAGAGAGAGAGGGAGGGAAGTGGAAATAGGCAGGGATAAAATGGAGAAGGGGAGAGATCAGATCAATTGGAAAATATGTTTATGAACAATAAGAAGTATTTTAAACCAGGCTGTGAGAACAAATGAACTGTGTACTTACTGTGCAGCCCAGGTCTGAGTTGATTCCCAATTTCACTTGGTAATGATCCTGGGTCCTCATGGCAATGCAGGTGAGCGCCTCCCCATCTAGCTGGAAGTCCTCCATCCCTCTACTTTTACTTATCATCCATCTATCTACCCACGCACACACACACACACACACACACACACACACACACACCTCGAGCGGGAGCATGGGGGGGGGGGGCCTCAAGCGATATTATTATTATTATTATTTTAGGCCCAGCTCATGAGGCCCCTTGATGATGTGAGGCCTGATGCAGTTGGTACAGTAAGTCTGCCACTTGCCTACGATAATGTTTGCAGGGTTGGGGCAAAGGGGTAGTCTTCATCAATGGGTTGAACCTGGGACGCCACTGGTCTATCTGCCCCCAGCAAACACTCTACCTCCCAGGATATTTTCTCAACAGTGGAGTAAACCAGGTAGGACTCACTACAAGCACTCAGTCAGAATCATAATGAGAAGATAATAAGACATTAAAAGGGAGTCATACACGCTCATGACAAGTCTTAGGTTCACAATGTTGTGTTTACTTAGTCGCTATCTTTTAGTTACCTTCATGTGTTTCATCATCTTCATCATCATCATGCAGCTCATTGTGTTTGAGGAGCAGGAAGCTGACTATAAGATCATGTTTGAAGAGACTCCTGATCTGGCCATGGCTGTGGACATTCAGTGACTGCATTCCCAAGCTACTGTACTTTTGATAGACAATTAATAATGAGTGGATCACATTTTCACATTGGTTTTTCCTCTGGGACCAAAAGTGCTGACAATGTATGGGGGTAACTCACCTCATCCATCTTGAGTAGAATATTGATTTACTATGTTCATCATTTTATTGACATGAAATGTCATTCAAACTGGGGTTTATTTATTGAAACAAGGAACTAGAACTAAATATCGCAGCCTAACAAAACAAAAAGCTATTTTCAACTGGAATCATTGTGTTGGCTAACAAATCATCACTTTCTGTATGTGTCATGATGTAAATGAAAGCATTCTGGTAACTCTTTACTTCCAAACAAAACGTTACACCTGTATCATCTGACCACTGATTGACTGGCTTGGTCAGTTTTAGTTGTGGTATTTATCATGTACCATATTGGCAAATATGAGTTACTGTGCTGTATGTTTGCTTTGAACATCAATATTGGGTCTTCCCTGAGACCAGGACTGTATAGGATTGACTTTATAAAAAAGGAAACCAATGCTATGATTTTTTATAGAAATTATAATATCAGCCATTAGTCGCAATAAACCATGTCAAACAAGGAAACCAAAAGAGACATTGACATGTGGGGTAAATTTGTATGATTGTATTTACATATAATTACAGTGGTTGTTTACAAAGCAGACATTCCCTCTGTTTACCTTTGAATATCAGATCAAAGATCATTAAGTGCCGTTTGGGGTCCAGACTGGTTAGAAAATGGCATATCAAGGGAAGGCATGTATCCTTGGACTGATTTAGTGTGTGTTGTGAAATAATCATATTTAATTGACTAGCTCTAGTTTCATTGGCAAATGTCCTTAACTATTCTCTGTTTGAGAGGTGAAAAAATTTGATGCATATTTCTCACCAAAATTACAGTTTTTCTCAATCGCGTACAAGGAATTTTTGGATCTGTGTTGAAACAAACTAGCTATAGCAGAACAGCAATGATCAAATGCTCAAATACATTTACATTTTAGTCATTTAGCAGACGCTCTTATCCAGAGCGACATACAGTTAGTAATACATTTGCAGAACTTCTGATAATTTTCTTGCTTTTGTACCTGACTTGAATATCTTAGACTTTCCAGGAGATACTGACCCTACCATTATAGTGGTACAATTTGGAGTACAGTGGCATATCCCATCCCTGCACTGAAGTACGTTTTCCAACCCATATCTTGCGCTGGCTCCACAGTGTCTTAATGTAATGATGATTGCGTTCACATCCCAGTGCAGCTCAGTGTAAACAAGAATAATGGTAGGGTCGGTATCTTCTGGGAAATCTTAGACCACCTTTTACAAAACTTTAAGTACAAATGCCATCAGTGAATACAAAATTCACTGTTAAGTGTTTTGTTCACAGAATACTAACACATTGTATTCCTCAGAAGAGAAATGTGTGCAATTGTGTTCACTGTTTCTGGCAATCAGTAAATACTACTGCACAAAATTCAAAATTCATACCATGTACACATACTGTAGGGAAAGATCTAGGCAATTGGGACAGTCAAATTTTTTACAATATTGCAGACATGCAGATAATGATGTTGGGTTACTCCTAAGTAATTCTCTCCAACATTATGACCTTCCATTATAGAGCTTTGCTTTGAGTCCACAAAACTATGAGCAAACCAGCCTATGTATTGATTATGGAATGGAATTGGATTGTGATGATACCGATGAATCCTGCACACAATGTGCTTATTTTATTTCTTATCAGAAATATTTGATTTGATATATATGAAATTGTTTGGTGAAATATGCATAAAAGGAGAGTAATTGCCCATAATTTGATCATCATGATTTAGTAACTGCAAAGAAAATGTATTGATGTACTGGGATTTGTTTTCTCTTTTGTCTACTTGGACTCGAGATGAGTATGGTTGTATTAATCTTTTTGCAGGGAGTCGTGTTCTTTTTATGAATTTATTTGCAATTTTGACTGTACAATTTAGTTTTGATTAATGTATTTATATTTTGAGAAGGCAACTACATTTTGAAAACGCATTTACTGTTTTGCAAAAGGCCACTGAGTTCTGTGTCTTGTGAACTCTGCTTTGAAAATCGATTCTTCCAAAAAAATACTTGTCTCTGATTGAGAAAAACTGATTGACAATAAATCCTGATTTTAAAGTGCTGATATAAATCAGTAGTGTTATATGATCAGGAAAACATGAACAAAAACAAGCAACTAACAAAAGCTGGCATTACAGTATGGGTGTTATGCTAAATCATCATTCCTACTCTGATTACTCTGTGTGTGCGTGTGCGTGTGTGTGTGTGTGCATGTGTTTGTGTGCAGGCGTATCTGTGTATGTGTGTGAGACGTGTTCTAATTAGTGATAGGTTTGAGGGAGCAGAGCTGTCTGAATAGCTCAGTGTTTTACATTGGGACGTGGGAAGGGTTCATGTCCTCTCCAGATTAGTCTGTCAGTCAATGCTAACTTCAGTCAGACAAGGACCCCTTTATCCAGCTCTGTTCTGCACCCCAAGAACAGTCCACTCCACAACAAAAGGAGCCTAATCACCAACAAACAAAAGCCATTCGGGGCCACTGATTGATTCAGTTTGGTCCAGTGCCTGGTTACGATCATGTTGATTGGACGGTTGGTTTGTGTCAGCTGGGTTAAGGACGCTTCCTATTGACCACTGTATGAAGCCATCCTGTTGTCTGAACCGCCGACAGTCTTTTGTCTAAGTTGCACTCTGGAGACTGGCGAGCTCCATGTGGGCAACTTCCATTGATGCATCAGTAAAGCGCTTAGCTAGATACAGTATCACCATCCTCTATGAATCTGTGCTTTGATATTCTATGCCTGTATTGATACGTGGCTGTGTGCTGCTTGTAGTAGACAAGGTGGCTGTCTGACTCCCTTTACAGTACTATTACAGTACATATATATTTCACCCTGATCCTGCCAGCTTGTCTTTTGTCAGTCCGTTTGGAATCCCAGCCATATATAACCTGTAATAACACAATGGTATATGGGCTTAGGAGATGTGCAAAGAAAATACATAATCAAGAATAATTATTTAATCATCATTACTACTAAACACAGAGATATTAGTTTAGGCAAATGAGAAGAGGTGTTCTAGAAACCAAAGACATAAAACCACATTAATAAAACTAGCTTTTTTGTGTGGATTTTCTGTCAAGTTATGAGATGAAATCATAACATCCCTGTTATACAAATTCAGACAGATTCGGCAAAGCTTTAAACTGTGAATAATAATACAATATCAAAACCTTTAATAATAATAATAATAAGCTCACAGGGGCTCAGAAAGGCAGGTTGGCCCTCAGACATAGGGTTGCAAAATTCCGGTAACATCTGTAAAATCTGGGAACTTTGGGAAAGGTACTGGAATTTTGCAATATTAATTCATCCCAGACCCAGTAACTTTATAGCTCTCTTATTACCTGTGCTCAAAAATAAGTTTCATATCTCCACGTTGGAGTCCGTAAATCCTTTCTTTCCCTCGTTCACCAGGACAGGCTTCTCTGTCCTAGTATGCCATACAAGTACCTGTTTGGGGGGGGGGGGGGGGGTTCAAGTAAAAAGGGTGGAAAATTTACTGTTGAAAGCATTTTTATACCACTTTAAAGTTAGCGAGGGGTTAGGCTTAGTGGTTAAGGTTAGGGTTAGGGTTAGGAGTTAGGGTAAAGGGTTAAGGTTAGGGTTAGGGTTAGGGTTAGCTGACATGCTAAGTAGTTGCAAAGAAGCAAAAGATTTGTAAGTAGTTGCTAAAGTTGCCGTGAGGAGTTTCGAACATGCAACCTTTGGGTTGTTAGACATTTGCATTATATGGCTACCCATCCACCGCGACCAACCACCCTCCTTTCATTTTTGCCTTAAGTAACATTCTGTCTTAATGTAACCATATTAAACGTAACATATCATATTAATTTGAGTGTCCCGGATTTTCATTTACTATGTTACATCTATGAGACCAGCCTGACCCAGTGGGAATCAAACCCACAACCCTAGCATTGCAAGCAACATGCTCTATCAACTGAGCCACACAGGACAACTCTTAGTTCCTCACCTTAGTGCAATTAGCAGCCTTGGGCTCCAGGTCGCTGAGGGTGACCAGCTCCCGCAGTAAGCTGCTCTCCTGGTATCCTCCCTTGACGCCCCGCAGCTTGAAGTAGGCCTGAGGCTTAAAGAGAATGAGGCGGAGGTTCACCGCAAACCCAGCCATGTCTATGGCAAAGGGGCGGTTGGGGTCAAACACAGTCTTCCAGCCGTAAACCTTGCCCATGGTGTTGACTTTAGGGGACTCGTAGCGCAGGCCGCCCACAAAGGCTACAGGCCACACAGACACCTTCCTCGTTGAACGCATCTAGACAAGAGGAAGGAGAGAGAGGGTAGAGCCCATAGAGATCCTATATAAGTGTTCTATGTCATTCTATGGATGGAGAAGGATTACTATGTGATCAATAAGTATACATTTCCAATATAATATATACATTTTTGTGAGGAAATAGCTATTTTAATTTGTATCATGTTCAAATATCGGAATTCATGTTTATAAACTTTGTTTAGGGCAGGTGTCAAGTGATGCCTATGTGTTGAGGCTGTGCATTTGCCTAGTGGCATATTGTAAGGAGCAATGCTCTTTATTTAATTATACTAGTGCGCACTGAAACCAAAATTGTTGCCTATTTTGGTAGCAAAAGAGGAAACAATTCTGTACTGCACAACATCTTTCCCTGTTCCACTCACCTCCTCAAACAGGTCCAGACTATAGGTGTTGTCATCGTCTGCAAAGTAGACGATACCCGGCTGGCTGTTGCTGTTGTTGGGGCTGAAGGTCTCTCTGAGCCAGCGCAGGGCCAGGTTCCTCTGCATGGTTCCACGGGGTATCCTGGGGTCCGTCATGTCCCCACGCAGCTTATAGTTCCTGGGTGTCTCCACGTTAAGGTGGGTGTAGTTCAGGCCTGTTTCCTGGAGGAGCCTGGTGACTAGCGGGGTTCGTCGCTGAGAGTCCTCAACCAGGATCCAGTGCAGGTTGGGCACGTGGAGGAAGGTGTTGGCCAGACGGGTCAGCTCTGCCTTCTGGACCGGCCGGCTGTAGGTTGGGGTGACGACGTGGAGGGTGGGGAGGACATTAGACCAGAGCGGTTGGCGGCTGTAGATGTACTCGGTGCGCAACACCTTCACAATGTCCTTGTTGTTCTCCGAGGAGCAGGGCTCCTTGAGGGTGAAGGTGTTCTGGGAGTCTCGCCGACTCTCATGTCTGTCATCTACGATGGGGAAAAAATCTGAACTGTTTTTGGTATAATAAACGTTTATAGACTGTATAGGAACTGCACGTTTCCATAGAGATGGCCTTCGTAGAGAGAGAGGAGACATCTAATCGTGCAAATAGTCTTCTTCGTCTGTTATGGAGTTAGATTTCAGTCAAAAGGTTTAATGAATGTGTTGTTCTGAAATCTAACTCCATACTCTTTTGTTAGACATGTAATCTCCTTGTGATAAACATAATATACTCATCACTAACTTATAAAGTAATTAGTTAGATGTCAGACTGATATGAGTCAGTTAAAGGTTTGAATCCGATTAGAGAAATTAATAAATTATGTGGACAATCAATTTTCTACTGATAGTGCTCAAATTGATAGCAAAATGACATTAATAACATTTCTTTCAGACACTGATGAAATGTTCAGCTCATTATGAACAAAAACCTTTTTCCATTGTGTTAAAAGTTTTGCAATAGAAAATGCAGCATATTCTGATAAAAAGATAAGTGGTGGGAAAATGCCAAAAATTAAGGTGGGAAATCATGTGTAGACGTTGTTCTTTTTAATCATGTCTTTTAAGTGTACTATATTAAATGGAGCATCCCAGAATAAGCAAAGATATAAGTAAATCAAACGTGTTCCTCTACTCAAGAGACTAACCATAAAACCCCCTACATAGGGAAATTGAGGAACGACTTTTACCCTTTCGAGCAGCTAGCAGAGGGGCGATGGCACTCTGATGCCAAACAGTGATAAGTAGCGTCCAAGGCAACACGATCAACACAATGGCCAGAATGTCTCGTCTCTTCGGCATCTCCGGGGTCAAACCTGAGCCACGTCATTACCTGCAACACACATTTTGGGTTAAGAAAGGGTAACACAGTTATACTAAGCTCATGTAGCATGTATTAGTTATATTCTTCAAGAATCAATAGGCAGCCTTTTTATCATTAATTGAGATTACCTTAACAGCAGGACATTTTCGACATTGTGCCTTTACGGTAAATACCAGGTGTTATTTCTGGATGGATTTCTGAACAATGGCTTCAGTATAAAACGTTGAACTTAAAGAATTGGTGACAGCGATCCTCCACTTTTCAAACAGGTTACAGTGCCTTCAGAAAGTATTCAGACCCCTTGACTTTTTCCACATTTTGTTACGTTACAGCCTTATTCTAAAATTGATTAAATCGTTTTTTCCCCTCATCTATCTACACACAATTGTGAGGACAGATGCTGGGAGACGAGAAGCAAGTACAGAGAGTGAACATTTAATATATACAGACATGAAAAATAACACAGAAAGCGTCTGGACAGGGGAAACATAACGACATTAATGCTGACACAGGGATCACAATTGAGGAACAGACAGATATAGGGGAGGTAATTTAAACAGTGATGAAGTCCAGGTGAGTCCAATGAAGCGCAGATGCACGTAACGATAGTGACAGGTGTGAGTAATGATGGGCAGCCTGGTGCCCTCTAGCGCCCGGGAGGGGGAGCAGGAGCAGGTGTGACAGTACCCCCACCTCTAGGGACGCCGCTGGCCGAGGCGCGGGAACCTGTTGAGCCTGACGGACCAGCCAAGGCGTGGGAACCTGTTGAGCCTGACGGACCAGCCAAGGCGTGGGAGCCTGACGAGCCGGCTGAGGCGTGGGAACCTGCCGAGCCAACCGAGGCAGGAAACCTCTCCAGCTAGCGAGGCATTGGAAGCCTGGCGAGCCAGCTGAGCCATCCCCAGTTCCCTCGGCCGCGGCACCCGGACCAGACGTCACAAACCAACAAAAAAATAAAAAAATAACTCCCTGATGCATCCAAATTTGGTGTCAGCATTCTGTGAGGATAGACGCTGGGAGATGAGAAGCAAGTACAGGGAGTGAACATTTAATATATACAGACATGAAATATAACACAGACAGTATCTAGACAGGGGAAACATAACGACATTAATGCTGACACAGGGATCACAACTGAGGAACAGACAGTGTCCAAACGTTTGACTGGTACTGTAAGTATTCAGACCCTTTATACAGTACTTTGTTGAAGCACCTTTGGCAGCGATTACAGCATCAAGTCTTCATGGGTATGACGCTACAAGCTTGGCATACCTGTATTTGGGGAGTTTCTCCCATTCTTCTCTGCAGATCCTCTCAAGCTCTGTCAGGTTGGAATGGGAGCATTGATGCACAGCTATTTTCAGGTCTCTCCAGAGATGTTTGATCGGGTTCAAGTCCTGGCTCTGGCTGGGCCACTCAAGGACATTCAGAGACTTGTCCCGAAGCCACTCCTGCGTTGTCTTGGCTGTGTGCTTAGGGTCATTGTCCTGTTGGAAGGTGAACCTTCGCTCAAGTCTGAGGTCCTGAGTGCTCTGGAGCAGGTATTCATCAAGGATCTCGCTGTACTTTGCTCCGTTCATCTTTGCCTCGGTCCTGACTAGTCGACCAGTCCCTGCCGCTGAAAAATATCCCCACAGCATGATGCTGCCACCACCATGATTCACCGTAGGGATGGTGCCAGGTTTCCTCCTGACGTGACTCTTGGCATTCAGGCCAAAGAGTTCAATCTTGGTTTCATCAGACCAGAGAATCTTGTTTCTCATGGTCTGAGAGTCTTTAGATGCCTTTTGTCAAACTCCAAGCAGACTGTTATGTGCCTTTTACTGAGGAGTGGCTTCCGTCTGGCCACTCTACCATAAAGGCCTAACTGGTGGAATGCTGCAGAGATGGTTGTCCTTCTGGAAGGTTCTCCCATCTCCACAGAGGAACTCTAGAGCTCTGTCAGAGTGACCATTGGGTTCTTGGTCACCTCCCTGACCAAGGCCGTTCTCCCCCGATTGCTCAGTTTGGCCGGGCTGGCAGCTCTAGGAAGAGTCTTGGTGGTTCCAAACTTCTTCCATTTAAGAATGATGGAGACCACTGTGTTCTTGGGGACCTTCAATGCTGTAGACATTTTTTGGTACCTTTCCCCAGATCTGTGCCTCGACACAATCCTGTCTCGGAGCTCTACAGACAATTCCTTCAACCTCATGGCTTGGTTTTTGCTCTGACATGAACTGTTTACTGTGGGACCTTATATAGACAGGTGTGTGCGCCTTTCCAAATCGTGTCCAATCAATTTAATTTACCACAGGTGGAGTCCAATCAAGTTGCAGAAACATCTCAAGGATGATCAATGGAAACAGGTTACATCTGAGCTCAATTTTGTGTCTCATAGCAAAGGGTCTGAGTACTTATGTAAATAAGGTATTTCTGTGTTTTATGTTTAATAAATTTGCAAACATTTCAAAAAAGCTGTTTTCGCTTTGTCATTATGGGGTATTGTGTGTAGATTCCGGAGGATTTTTATAAAATGTAATCAATTTTTTAATAAGGCTGTAACGTAACAAAATGTGGAAAAAGTCAAGTGGTCTGAATACTTTCCGAAGACATTGTATATTTAGCCAGCTCATAGAGCCAGTGCATGAGGGTTTGATCCGTGGTGGAGCTAGCTGCCATCTAATGGGTGATCACGTGTGAATTCACCACATGGTAACCCTCCATTAAGTAGCTATCGCTCCAAGGCGGGTTCTACAAAGATAAAGCGTTTGCAAGAAACCTGCTTTCCCACCAAAGCCATTGCACACCAGAAAATAGGTCAGAGACAGCTACAAGCTTTTCTTTCTTTCTGCCTTATAGAAAAGCAAGCTGGAACACTACATAAAGAATAAATCACATTGCTAATGATCTGAAAAAGCATAAAGAGGTTGTATTCTTAGTTTTTTTTAAGAACTGTAATATCCTATGTTTCGGAGTCGTGGCTGAACAATGACATGGATAATATACACCTTGCTGGCTTTTCCATGCATCGTCAATGTCGGACGGCAGTCTCGGGTAAGCTGAGAGGGGGAGGGGTGTTTATCTTTGTTAAGACCAGCTGGTGTGCAATCTCTAATGTTAAGGAAGTCTTGAGTTTTTGCTCGCTTGAGTTAGAATACCTCATAATAAGCTGCAGACCATACTATTTATATTTTTCGTAGCTCTCTATTTACCACCACAAACCGATGCTGGCACTAAGACTGGACTCAACAATCCGTATAGAGCCATAAGCACTTCTTGTGGCAGGTGATTTTAATGCAGGGAAACTGAAATCCGTTTTACCTCATTTTTACCAGCATGTCACCTGTGCAACTAGAACCAACAAAACTCTAGATCACCTTTACTCCACACACAGAAATGCATACAAGGCTCTATCCCTCCCTTTGGCAATTCTGACCATAACTGCTTACAAGCAAAAACTCTAACAGGAAGTATCAGTGATGCGCTTAATACATAAGTGGTCTGATGAAACGGAAGCTAAGCTCCAGCTAAAAAAGCTAAGCTAAAAATCCACCTTTCCATAAATATGTCTCTCACTGTTGCCGCTTGTTACAGACCCCCCTCAGCCCCCAGCTGTGCCCTGGACACCATATGTGATTTGATTGCCCCCCATCTATCCTCAGAGTTCGTACTGCTTGGTGACCTAAACTGGGATATGCTTAACACCTTGGCCATCCTACAATCCAAACTAGATGCCCTCAATCTCACACAAATTATCAAGGAACCTACCAGGTACAACCCTTAATCCGTAAACATGGGCACCCTTATAGATATCATCCTGACTAACTTACCCTCTAAATACACCTCCGCTGTTTTCAACCAGGATCTCAGCGATCACTGCCTTATTGCCTGTGTCCGTAACGGGTCCGCGGTCAAACGACCACCCCTCATCACTGTCAAACACTCCCTAAAACACTTTAGCGAGCAGGCCTTCCTAATTGACCTGGCCCAGGTATCCTGGATGGATATCGATCTCATTCCGTCAGTAGAGGATGCCTGGATGTTCTTTAAAAGTGCTTTCCTCTCAATCTTAAATAAGCATGGCCCATTCAAAAAATTCAGACGTACTGCATTAGCATCAAATAGCCCCCGAGATATGCAACTTTTCAGGGAAGTTAAGAACCAATATACACAAGCAGTTAGGAAAGCAAAGGCTAGCTTTTTCAAACAGAAATTTGCATCCTGTAGCACTAACTCCAAAAAGTTTTGGGACACTGTAAAGTCCATGGAGAATAAGAGCACCTCCTCCCAGCTGCCCACTGCACTGAGGCTAGGAAACACTATAACCACTGATAAATCTACAATAATCGAGAATTTAAACAAGCATTTTGCTACGGCTGGCCATGCTTTCCACCTGGCTACCACTACCCTGGTCACCAGCTCTGCACCCTCCGCTGCAACTTGCCCATGCCCCCCACCCCGCTTCTCCTTCACACAAATTCAGACAGCTGATGTTCTGAAAGAGCTGCAAAATCTGGACCCCTACAAATCATCTGGGCTAGACAATCTGGACCCTTTCTTTCTATAATTAGCCGCCGAAATTGTTGCAACCCCTATTACTAGCCTGTTCAACCTCTCTTTCGTAACGTCTGAGATCCCCAGAGAGTGGGAAGCTGCCGCGGTCATCCCCCTCTTCAAAGGGGGTGACACTCTATATCCAAACTGTTACAGACCTATATCCATCCTGCCCTGCCTTTCGAACGTTTTTGAAAGCCAAGTTAACAAACAGATTACCGACCATTTCGAATCACACCGTACCTTCTCCGCTATGCAATCCGGTTTCCGAGCTGGTCATGGGTGCACCTCAGCCACGCTCAAGGTTCTAAACGATATTATAACCACGATCGATAATAGACAGTACTGTGCAGCCGTCTTCCTCGACCTGGCCAAGGCTTTCGACTCTGTCAACCACCGCATTCTTATAGGCAGACTAAATAGCCTTGGTTTCTCAAATGACTGCCTCGCCTGGTTCTC